CTCCAGAAGATTATCTCATGGCTGGAACACCATTGGGACGATCCGGCAGACGATGAGGACTTCGAGGACGAGAAGGAGCGCCGCGAAGAAGAGTTGTCTCATTGGGACAAAGAGTTCATCGATATATCGGATCAGTCGCTCCTCTTCGACGTGATCGCCGCCGCAGACTTCATGCACATCACTGGTCTCGTAGAGGTCGGCGCCAAACATATCTGCAGTACAATCAAAGGCAAGTCGTGTCAAGAGGTCCGTCAGATCCTTAAGATCACGAATGACTTGACTCCTGAGGAAGAAGAGACCATTCAGAAGGAAAACGAGTGGATTGACGCCAAGGATTAAGACACGGATTATGGGCCACGGGTTGTGATAAAGTTGTGATAGTTTTATGAATTACTCAATTAATCTGTTCATTAATCTGATGATGTATTTGAACTCAATTTGCATTTATTTATTATTTGTTATAAAATGAATACTGTTTTATACATTGAGATATAATATAAAAATAAAAGTTTTATAAAAACCATTTGAAACATATTAATCTTACAAATAATGACTTTTTGATGGTTGCAATCAAATGTAATTGTAATCCGAGTCCTCATTTCAATTTATGTTAAATGTTCAAACATTTTGTTGTTGTTTTTGAGTGCAATTTTCAAAATGTATTAACTATTTAGTCACTAAATGATATGACCATGTTCAATTACATTGCATAGTTTGACCGACTCATATCTGCCGGTGTTATTATTAAGTATCACAAGTCAGTTGTATTTACTCAACAGAATCGCGTTATTGACTTAATTCTGATATTTGTTTTGTCAAAGAAACTGTTGTAATGAATATATTAATATTAAATCAGTACTTCTTATAATCTAAATAATTTAGAAAATTCTTATAAATTATAATTATAAATATGAATATGTGTATAAATATGAACAGAATAATGTAGCAGCATATTCTATATGGAAATATTCTAAAATATTCTGTGTATTGTTAATATTAAGTTACAGCTACCAGCATAAACTATTCAATAATTCAACTCTCATAGTTTATTTAGACAAAGTTTGTATATTATAAATGATTAACAATATACAGTATAATTCTCGAGTGAATTCTATTAAAATATTTAACGGCATCACAAATATTGTAAACCATAAATAATTTTCATTTCAATTTATTGATCAGGGCCATATTACAACGTGAATTATATTTTTTAAATGTCATTAGCTTACCCGTTGTGGAATAAGTTCTTAATGAATTTAATTTAACTTAATTTTATTCTGGTCACCAAAAATCATAATATCCATTGTCTATATTTATGCCTATTTTT